ATTTAGTTGAATTTGATGAATGCTTTTTAAGAAATCTAGATATCTTTGTTGGTACGATAAAAGAAGATTACAATCAGTAATGATTTAAAGAGGGGGAAATAATCATTTTATGGACTTACATAGAAATGAGGCTACAAAGAAAGCCACTAGAAGCAAGATAGGAGCAAACTTGAGGTGATGAGAATGAAAAAAGGATGCGCCTTTTCCACTTACGAGACAATGTTAGCATCGAAGTACTATAGAAGTGCGCTTATCAAATTGAGTTCGCGTGGTTTAAATACCTCCACTAATAATCTTGCTGATGTGAAGCTTCCTTGCTTCTGCACAAGATTATGAGAATCCAAACATCATGCTTTATTTTTCTTTTTCCCCCGAGACAATCTTGACGTATGTATGACAAAAGACTCTAGAGTAACTAGCAGTTAGGGGATTGGGATCCTCTACTACGGCATAGTGCCTCCTAATATCTCCTAATGCATCTCCACCTTTCATTGCATAGTATCTCCTCATATTTTGTGCTTATGCACAAAATTAAAGGTGGAAATGCATTAGGAGATATTAGGATGCACTATGCCTTAGTAGAGGATCCCAATCCGCAGTTAGGTTGGATAATTGTGGAGTGGCGTCTCTCTTCCATGATTCCAGTGTATGCAGTACACAATTCTGTGGAACGTATAAGAAAGGAAATTTTTTAAAATAGACCGATTTTGCTAAATATTTAGCAAAATCAACATCTTTTTGGCCAACAGGCCAAAAAGATGTCGATTTTAAAAAACACCCAGCTGAAAACATACGGAATTACTAGTCCCCTATGTTTTCAAGGGCACTAATCACTGATTAGTGCTCACAGAAAACATACTGGACTAGTAGTCCCATATGATTTCTGGGAGCTCTTTGGTGATCAACAAAACATACGGGCCTAGTAGTCTCGTACATAAAATAGAAACTCCACAGCTTTGCTGGCCAGATCTACGGGATTACTAGTCCCGTAGAAAAGTCGACCTATTTAAACAGATGTGCCCTAAATTTGGGCACAACCGCTATTCCTCCCACGCTCATCTCTCTAAGAGTTCACTCTCCCGATCTCACTCTCAATCTCTTGATCTTCTCTCTCCCAAACTCATCACACTCCCTCCCAAAACCATTGAACTCTCTCCCAAACCCGATTGACACACCCAAACCTGATCTCCATCCCTTCTAAACCTGATCTCCATCTCTCCCAAACCTATTCTCTCTCTCCCAAATCCAACTCACCCCCTCCTCCCTCAAATCTGACGTCGTCTATTATCTCCGACGCTGACACCGTCTATACTCTTCGACGCCGACGAGATCCGAAATTTCATCAAGGTAACAATTTCATATTTTTCATAAATTTCTCTATTTTGTTTAGTTAAACGAGATCCGAAATTTCATCAAGGTAACAATTTCATATTTTTCATAAATTTCTCTATTTTGTTTAGTTAATATTGTATATCTAGAGGTATATCTAGAGGATTTCATATTTTTCATAAATTTCTCTATTTTGTTTAGTTAATATTGTATATCTAGAGGTATATCTAGAGGAAATAATTAATTATGATCATCAATTTGTAAAATGTCTAATTTGTATACGTCAAATTTTAATTCTTCAGTTGAAATGGCTAATGGAATTCCGATTATTTGCTTATTCAATGGGAAATTGAGTGTTTGAATGAATAATTTGCCTATATATGACGGAGGCTCTAGAAAAATGTTCATGTTGTCTAGAAATTGCAATTTCGATGGAATGATGGAGCACATATACAGAGTTACCAGAATTAATCATGCCAAAAATGTCATTAAGGTCTTCTATAATTGTCCAATAAATGAAAAAAGAACAATTGCTATAGAGATCACCACTGATGAAGAATTGAATGATATGATACAACTTGCGGATAAACAAAATGCAATTGAGTTGTTCATTGAAAATATTCCAAATTCTAGGGTTGTCGAAGTTTCGTATGCTCACGGAGAGTTCTCTCGCATGCTTGAAAGTCAAATCTCATTATCTCAATGTGCCTTGCACTTAAAAAATGACTCCAGTGCAATGTCAAGTGACATGTTTCACAACGCATCGGGTCATGTTTCAGTTGATTTACCGGTTGGTGGTTCTATAATAGGAGAGGACGAATATGTAGATGTTGATGATGATAGTGAAGATGTTGAGTCCAAGGAGTAACATCATGATAGTATGTAGTTCGCAATTGGAGAGAACAATGATGACGCAAGTTGGATGAATAAATATTGCGTGAACAACGGTTATGTAGAGTCTGAAGAACCGTTGCTCGAAGAGTTTAAAAATGACGAGTGGATAAATAACTCACAAGCTGAGTTAGTTTAGCCTCATCCTAATTTCGATCGACCCAAGGATATCACTTTAAAAAAAGGAGATCTATTCGAGAATAAGGAAAGATTAAATTTCGCTATAAATGAATGCGCAATTAGGAACCGGGTCAAATTCAAGCCGGTGAAATCCAATACAACTAGCTACCATGTAAAGTGCTACTTCAATGAGAAATGTCAAGCCGCTTATACAAGTGCTGCATACAATAGAAATTTAAAATGTCCATGAAAGCTTAATGCATGTGTTAGGAAAAAATCTAACGGGCAATTTATGATCTGAAGTTATTACGGACTTCATACATGTTGCAATCCGACTGTCGCTAATGATCATAAGACAACAACTTCTGCTTATATCATGAAGCTAATTATGCCCGAAGTTAGGCGCGAATTTGATCTTACTCCAAGACAGATAATTACAACGGTTCGTGCTATGAAAGGCATAACTATATCCAACTTTAAAGCATATGATGCACGGAGGAAAGCGTTGATTAAAATCTTTGGAGATTGGGAAGAATCTTACCAAAAACTTTCACATTATCTTGTAGCAATTAAGAGGAAAAATCCGGGTACCGAATATGAGATAGTGTCCAAGGAGATCGCGCCAGAAATGGAGAGGTTCATCCGAGTATTTTGGGCATTTGGGCCCGCTATCAAAGGGTTCTCTTTTTGTCGTCCTCTCTTAAGCATCGATGAAACACATTTATATGGCAAATACAAAGGAGTGCTCTTGGTTGCGACCGGTGTAGATGCAAATGGTGGGTTATTTCCAGTAGCTTTCGCAGTTGTGGAGGTGGAGGATACATCGAGTTGGAAGTGGTTTTTTCAGTGTATTTACAAATACATTCCGACTGTTCAAAGTCCAAGAGTTATTACCTTTATTTCTGACCGAATAAAAAGAATTCCACGAGCCTTGCATGAGGGGTGGAGTGCACCACATTATCACCGTTATTGCTTGCGGCATATAAGAGCTAATTTTAAGAGAAAACATGGAGAGGTCAATTTACAAAATTTATTGTGGCAAGCCGGGTGTGCCACTGACTCACTTGTATATGAGCATTGTAGAGAGAAAATTAAATCCCTATCAGTTGAAGCACACAATTGGATTGAACAAAACGTAAAGCCACAATACGAAGATCGATAGGCATTATGTAAAGATAACGGAAATTTGGAATTATTTTGTGATGATATGTATTTTTGTAGAATTTTGGATGTGATGTTGTGTATTTCGTCGGATTATGTGTTGTGATGATGTATTGTATTGTGTTGTGATGATGTGTATTTTTTAGATTTGTGTTGTGATGTTCTAATTTTATAACTTTTATCAATGTATTAATTGGCATAAAATCGGATTAGATTAGCATAAGACCCTAATCACCCCCCCTCTAGGGTCTAACAGAGCAAGCATATACAAGCTCAAGACGAAGGAGGTCGCCGACGATCTCAGTGGGTGCGAAGACCGAGATAACGGGGGAGGGGTGGATTTTTCCTTTGTTAGTTTTTCCATGTAGATTATATATTATCGTATGGATTTATTAATGCATTTGGATTTGTTTAGCTTAGACTACATATTATTGTATGGTTAGGCTTGATACATTTGGAACTATTTTGTGATGATGTGTATTTTTATAGAATTTTGGATGTGGTGTTGTGTATTTCGTCGGATTATGTGTTGTGATGATGTATTGTGTTTTGATGATGTGCATTTTTTAGATTTGTGTTGTGATGTTCTAATTTTATAACTTTTATCAATGTATACAATGTAGATGATATATTTTGGCGAAAAATTTTGGTTGTATACGAAGCTAGAGGTATGTGCATGCTTTGCCTCAACCCAGCAAACATACGAGACTACTAGTCCCGTATGTTTGTCGGGTTCAGGCAAAATGCCTCTGCATTACGTACGGGACTAGTAATCCCGTATGTTTGGGGCGAAGGTAAAAAGTTTCTGTTTTTTGTACGGGACTACTAGTCCCGTACGTTTTGTTGAACACCAAAGAGCTCCCAGAAAACATACGAGACTATTAGTCCCGTATGTTTTCTGAGCACTAATCAGTGATTACTGCCATTGAAAACATACGGGACTAGTAGTCCCGTATGTTTTCAGCTGGGCGTTTTTTTAAATCGACCTCTTTTTGGCCCGTTGGCCAAAAAGAGGTTGATTTTGCTAAATATTTAGCAAAATCGGTCTATTTTAAAAAAAATTTCTTTTTACAAATATTATCTAACAGGGTTTTTTACACATATACCCCTCAATGATATTTAATACCCTACTCGCGCATGTAGGATCTTTTTACCCCACTAACTTAACGATGTTGGTTTTTACAAAAGGCAACTGCAAAAAAATCCAACAGTTTCCAATAAGTTTGCGAAACTTATTACCGTTTTAAAGCTACAATGATTAAAGGAAAGGGGCAGGGGAAAAACAAAAATCAATGTGAGAGAATTGGGATGGGGTGACATTGCAATTACCCAGATTTAAGGGGAAATTTAGTAAATATAAAAGATTTGAGGGGGTATATATACGCAAAAATAGCTAGATCCATTGGGATTAGCATAAACATACTTATTTGCAAAATATAAAACAATACTTATTTGCAAAATATAAAATAATACCTATTTTAATTAGTCGCGTCCGCTCATAAATAGCCGCCACTTGATGTTCATCACTCCTCTCGTTACACAGAAAACGGAACCGAGAGAAACAGAGAGAGAGAGAGAGAGAGAGAGAGAGCGCGGAGAAAATCCCTTTTACTTTTGTTACGGAACCCTAGATCTCAAGGTGATTTTCGACGAATTTCCGTTTTATTTATCTCGATCTAGTTTCTCCGTTATCTAGTTGTTCGGATCGTTTTTTTTTTGGGGCAAATTTACAATGTTTTTCAGCTGATCTTAGAAGCGAGACATTTCTTGCTATAAGTTCCCTACGATCTCTATCTAATTTCGAATAATTCACAAAGTTACTTGAATCTTGTTCACAGTTGTTTTTCTTGATTTTTATTTTCCGTAATTTTTGTGCCTTTTTCAGCTGATCTTTGATCTTATTGACTTTAATCATGGAAATTTTCCTGAGATTCTTAGTTTATGAGGAGCATTTTGTTTTGGGGGAGGGATATAATGTGCAATTTGGGTGTTACATTTTAATGTGATTTCCATGTGATCCCTATCTATTTCGAATAATATACCAAGACATTGTGCATCAGAATTTTTTTTTGTGGGAAATTTTCGTTTTTTTTAAACGTTTCCAGCTGATCTTTGTGTTTATGGACGGTTTCTGTTAATAGCGTGGACATTTTTCTGAGCTACTGAATTTATCTCATTTTGTAGGGAGAAAGAGAACGTGCGCATTTTTAAAGTCTGAGATTTCTTATGTCGTTATGTTTTTCCATATTTTGATTGAATTTCAGACCCAAATCGGCCTTTTTTCCGAATAATTTACAAATTTACTTGAATTTTGATCTAGTTTCTCTATTAGCTAGTTCTGTTGTCGCCACTTTTTGAATTTATTTTCTATTTGGTGCACGTTTTCAGCTGTTCTTTGCTCTTTTTTCTTGTATAAGATCTTTTCGTATGTTTTATGAGTGATTTCTGTGATGATCATGGAAGTTTTTCTGGGATACTGAATTTACCTGAAGCATGTTTAGGGATAGAGATTTTGCACACTTTTAGTGTTACATTCTTTTTGAATATACATTCCTTTTAATTATCTTTGTATTTCTCCATTTTGATTAAATTTCAGACCCGGATCAGATAATGGCACCAACCAGGACTTCAGACAATTTAGAGGCCAGAGGTAATCCTTCCATAGAAAATTTTGCTGTGTTTGTTAATTGAAAGCATTCATTTTTAAAGGAATTATATCTAGTTTTTTTTTCTTTTAGCGGATGGTGAGAGTATTTTTCAATTATTTGTGATGATTTATTCCTTAAAGTTTGAAAAACCTAGTTGTTAGATTTTGTGCATTTATGGCTTCCCAGCTAAGTTTTAAATGGAAAATACCTGCGTAGAGATTTCAGGTTAATTGGTGCTGATAAGTCATCCCAGACTTTATCTTTTTTTTTGCGTGCATATTTTAATCGGCTCAGCTGTTTCATTACATACTGTATGGTGTATAGTTGCAGTAAGCTGAATTTTACTGGTTATTCTGGTTGTAAAGTTGCCGTTCCTCATATGGTCAAGTTTGATCGATTTTGCTGATATCTTGAATTATTTCGACTGTTAAAAACTTTCAGTGGAAATTATGTATAATAGTTTAAATAGCTTTTAAATGGAATTTACCCCCATTTGCCCGTGTTAGAGAGGGGTTTAATATCATCATTTTTACTGTGAAGTTGTTATATGAAACCTATTTGTATCAAGATATCAAAAATAAGGTTGAAGCTCACAGTGTTTGCTGTTCTCACTTATTTTCTCTCTCTTTTTTCTTCTTATGATAACAGATGTATGTGTTGTTGGTGTTGCAAGGACACCTATGGGGGGCTTTCTTGGTGCTTTATCATCTCTCTCCGCCACCAAACTTGGATCTATAGCTATTCGAAGTAAACATAGAAGCCTTTTAAGATTTTTCACTTTTTCTTCCTTCTATTTCTTTAACCTAATATTCCTCCTTGAATTTCAGCTGCTTTAGAGAGGGCAAATGTTGATCCTTCACTTGTACAAGAGGTATATTTTGGCAATGTCTTGAGTGCTAATTTGGGTCAAGCTCCTGCTAGACAGGCTGCATTGGGTGCTGGAATACCGGATACAGTGGTCTGTACCACCATAAATAAAGTTTGTGCATCAGGGTTGAAGGGTATTTATTCATTTTTCTTTACAGGATATTTGATATTACAATGTATAGGCTGTTGGTATGAATTCTCAGCAATAACTTCAAATACTCTTTTTATAGCTACAATGCTTGCGGCTCAAAGCATCCAGTTGGGAATCAATGACATTGTTGTGGCTGGTGGAATGGAAAGCATGTCAAATGCCCCAAAATATATTGGAGAAGCTAGGTGATATTCTATAATTCCTTTTCTATTGTTATGTTCCTTATGTTATCTTTGGATACTTATTATTTATGTTAGTTGTTCATGATGTTTCTAAAACTTCGGAAAAGAGTACAGAACTGAATGGAAAAAGATATTGATCGACCAAGTATCATAAATGTGCCATCTACGTACTTTTTAAATAGCTATCTTCCATTTTTCTGAATCATGTAGATAGAAGCATGGCCTTACATGACTTTATTTATTTATTTATTGTATGTTCACTTGCATATTTATAGACTTAGTTTAAGTGCTTAGTGAATTCCATTAAAGGTTTTGTTTCTTTGTCTTGATTTTGGTTTTGTTGATGAATTCTCTAATTTTTGGATTTTTGATAGATCCTTTACTTATTGGATATGGATTCTTACTACGAACAAGTATTGACTCCTTGAAGTGTAGTAGGGTATCCTTTTTTTTACTATAGATATGCGAGACTAGCCAATTGGAGTAAGGCATGTAATAGTAACTGATTTTTTGCAATTGATTAACTTTTGCAGAAAAGGATCCCGTTTTGGACATGATAGTCTTGTTGATGGGCTGCTTAAAGATGGTCTTTGGGATGTATATAGTGATTGTGCAATGGGAATGTGTGCTGAACTCTGTGCTGATAACCATTCAATCACGAGAGAAGATCAGGTACTTGTATAGGTCCATTTTTATTCTACAGTTAGTTGTCATTTCTCATAATAAAAGGGAACTTGTTATAGTTCAGAACATATTCACTGACAGAAAAAGGATAAAACAAATTCTGGGGTAGCACACATGCATTTAGAAGCCTTCAGTTTATCAGAATAGTTACTTTGGGATGAATTTTATTATCTTTAAAAAATATCGCATTTACATATGAATTTTTTTTATTGTGGCATATGTGGAATTTGTGAAGTTCATATTTAAACATTTATCACCTGTATAAATCATCTTTACAAATTCTCACGGCTGTAATGTTTTCAGGAAGTTATATACTTGTACTCGTGTCCCTTGTCTTTAACTGAATATTGTTACTGATGTTCCTTGTGTGCTGGTCTGAGAGCAGGACATATGATTGTTATTATCTGAGTCTAAATATTTGAAACTAGCTTAATGTAATATCCTTGGATGTCACTTATTTCAGATTTAGCAGAACATCTTGTACAGTTGATACTGTTAATGATAATGTGAATATCGACCTAATTCCAGCACAATTTTTTTAGGTTACTGATTCCTTTTGCTATATTTTCAGTTTATTTTTTTTCCTTTTCCCTCTTTTCTTACATTGTGACTGTGGTATTTGTGTCATTACCACTACTAGAAGTTACTATATTGCATATTTGAGCATCTGATTTAGCGGGCACCATATTGTGTTTGGAACTATGCTGACCATTACCTTTCCGCAGTTTTTTTCTTATCACCTTTCTTTACTGATGTTTGTAAGGCGGTTTTAGGTATTATTCTATTTTTTGATTTTTCCAAATGTTATTACCGATAAATTGTCAGATTGTTTGTTGGTTCTGCAGCTTGCATACATAGTATACATCATTATCTTTATTTCCACCCCTGGTTTTTAATTTCTATTGGGATGTTAGGAATCCTTTAAATTCTTTTTATCGTATGACCTGAGACCTCACTAAAATGGTAGTGCTGCATGGATTGGGATTATATATTTGTACAACCTATATCCTGTATAATGTTGGACTCTTGATGGATATACAACTTTCAAATTTCCATAGGATTCCTATGCCATTCGGAGCAATGAATGTGGAATTGCTGCTAGAGATGGTGGTGCCTTCACATGGGAAATAGCTCCGGTCAGACTTCTGCTTATACTAGTAACATGAAAGACAGTGCGTCCTTCAAAATCTTGACTAATTCTTTATAATCTTACACAGGTTGAAGTTTCCGGGGGTAGAGGAAAGCCATCAATTATTGTTGACAAGGATGAAAGCTTAGCAAAAGTATGTCCATGTCAAGTTTCCGATTAAATTCTACTATTAACATATGAGAGAAATGTCAAGCAGATAAATCACTTGGCATATATCTTCAACATTTTTCTTTTAACATGCATCTGGATCTGCTTGACCTATGAGTTCACTTTTCCTGATAATGTGTGAGGATTTTTCTTTTGCTAGTTTGATCCATTAAAACTGAAGAAACTACGCCCAAGTTTTAAGGAGAATGGTGGTACCGTTACTGCAGGAAATGCATCAAGTTTAAGGTTCTTCCCTCACCTTTTGCATTGTTTGCTCTTGGCCTATCACACTATCATTCTAATCAGGTCACAAATAGTAATTTTCAATATTGACTGTAGCTTTCCTATGCGATTTGCCTAAGTGGAAGACTACTATGTAGGCATTAGAAAATCTTATTATGGTCCATGCTCAATGAGTGATATGAGATTATGCTATAAAATAGTGAAGCTTTCTATATATGAAGTGCTAGTGTTTGTCAGATTTATAAGAGCAAAATGATGAATCTCTATTGCTGCCGCTACCTCCTTAGCATTTAGAATTCTTGCTACACTCCACCTTTCACAGTTTGGACTATTGCCTAGAGTCAACTGATATTTTCCAATACTTTTAAACTATAACATCATGAGGCTTGAGTTAGAGGCAGGACTCTAGAAATGCATTTTCGTCACTTTTAGTTGAGGAAAACTGTATAGATTATGTGGAGATGTGAAGAAGGAATATATATGAAAAACTCGGCGGTACTTGAGCATGCAATTAGGTATAAGCCATTCATAAATCAGATATTATAGGTTGAAAGTTTCCAGCTTACGTAAATGGATGATCTCCTGGACAGACCTATTTAATCCATTAAAGCCTTCTGAATGTTAGTTGCGTTGTAATTCTTACTACGAATTGGCTATAATGGAGTTGCCATCTGATACTTATTCCATTTTTTGAAGTTTTGAACATATATAAGCTCCTGTTAAGTGTCATTAATGCTTCTCTTGTCCTGTTTGGATAGTGATGGTGCTGCAGCATTGGTATTGATGAGTGGGCAAAAGGCTCAAGAACTGGGGTTGCAAGTGATTGCAAAGATCACAGGATATGCTGATGCTGCTCAGGTATGGGTCATAGAAATGGGAGCCTTTCTTGTTATCACCGTGAACTAGCTATTTTTAAACTGTGAGAAAGTGGGGATTGCCCATAGTGTTTTCTTTATCCTATGTTTCTGTGTCTTGGAATTTGAACTGCTATATAGATGTTTGCTGAAGTTTTTCTCATTTCCATATGCTTTCCACTCATTTGGTTAGTTCTAGAGTAATGTGGAAGTACGTCTTGCAGGCTCCAGAGCTCTTTACAACAGCACCAGCACTTGCAATACCAAAGGCTATTTCGAATGCTGGCTTGGAGTCTTCTCAAGTTGATTTTTATGAAATTAATGAAGCTTTTGCTGTATGTCTTAATGCTTTCATCTCTCATGTCTTTGATATCTTCTTCCTGTAGCCTTTACATTTTAGCTTTTTAACTTCTTGGTGGCAGGTTGTTGCCCTGGCAAATCAGAAACTTCTTGGGCTTCCAACCGTAAGTATACAACTTTGTTTAGTGGTTACTGCTACTGTTTGCCATCAACCATGCAGTAGAAGAATGTGATGTATACTGTAGTGGCTTACACTCCATGTTTGTTGCGGTGCAGGAAAAGGTTAATGTGCATGGTGGAGCTGTAGCTCTAGGGCATCCTTTAGGCTGCAGTGGTGCTCGTATTCTGGTCACTTTGTTGGGGGTATGTTCTCTGGCCATCGATTTATTTCATTAGCATAGTAATCGGCATGTGTCGTCGTACATATATAGAGTGAGAGGGTCACACAGGTTGTTTTTACTTTTCAACTGTGTTATCTTAGCCTTTTTTTCATTGATTGTGTCTGTCATTTGATCCAAGTTTTGATTGGCAGGTTCTTAGGCAGAGAAATGGAAGACACGGCGTTGCAGGTGTCTGCAATGGTGGTGGTGGAGCTTCTGCTCTTGTTCTAGAGCTGCTTTAAGCCTGTCGGATTTGGTAAATTCTGGTGTTCTTTTTCCTGATTTTTCTACATATTTTTCCATAGCTAAAAGCTTTTACTTTCAATCTATTATTTAATAAAATGGAATATAAAAACAAAGCCATATCTAACAGTTCACTGAAATCCTTGAGGTACAAACTCAGAAATTTGTTAGTGCACATTATTATACAATTAAAGAAAAGCTTTTAAATGGTATCCTGTTAGTGGAGTGGTTCAGATGGTATAACCTGACTCAATTATTAATTGGTCAGGTGTCTTTTGAATTACATATATTTTGATATTAATCCATGAAAGAAAGCTTAATTATTTCTAGTAGGTCCCTGATTGACTTCAAGTTCCACCAAAATATATCGTTCGCAGTTGGAATTTACCGTGCTTAATGGGTTAACCAGTTTGTTAAACAAGGAAATTCGATTACTCCTAAGGGGTTCTGGTTTATTGTAAAAGTTTATCATATTCTTCCTCTTTTCTTTCACTCCTGACCATCACGACCTTAATATTTAGTACTTCTCACAGAAACAATTAAAGTTCATATACCTGTTGGAAAATTCAGATACCTCAGGTAGTCTAATATCAGATATTTTAATCATATTTTTATCTAATATCAGATATCATTATCTGTCAAGCATTGGATATGTAACATATTATCATATTTGGTTGCAACCGCAGCGCCATCTTTCCTCAAGTGTTAAATTTTGTTTTATCCTTTAATCCTTTCATTTCGCATAATCTCTTTCATTACACGCATATGCCAGCTTCAAACCTACTGCATTACGGGTTTCAACTTCAGAGAGAGGTTTAAGTGAGATGCATTTGATTAAAAACTGTCATAAAGGAAGAAATAATTCTTCTAAAAAGTAGCAATGAAGTCATTTAGGATATCTCTGAACCCTAACTTGGACTGTTCATGCACTTGAGCTAAATCTGAGTAGTCGGCTGTTCTAGATATCGTCAGAATGACCTATGAAGTTCAACTTTCTTTTCTCTGCGTCCCTTCCATTCTATTTGTGAAAACTTTCAGCGAAGCTTTACCCTTAAAAGTAATACCTATATTTGATCGGAGGAGGAATGCATTCTAACTGATGATTTGTTTACATGCCCAGGACTCGCAATGGTGAAGCTATGAGATATTTGCAATCGTTGAACTTCATCAGTTTTTTCGAAAAGCGTGAATTCTAACTGAGACTGAAGCACGGTCGCAGTTCGAAGCTCAAAGTCAGGATTAACAGAATAGTAGTCTATGTTAAATGGGTTGAATCACTTCTCAAGAATTGTTACGCAAGCGAATTGCAAACTTCGGATCTGGTTTTATTGGTGTACTGCACTATTTATGTATTGATGTAATGATGGGTATGTCTAATAAGTCTTAGATTATAAACTAGTTTATCCTTTGGAAATCTGCGAACGTTTTTTTGCCCACAATGGTTAAAATTATTGGATCATGGGTTAACTGATGACAACGTGTGTTCAACTTCTCCAAAGTGCATAGGCAATCGCGGAAGCTGCCTATAAAAATGAATCACATGAACTTTGTCCTGAAAACCGCTCAACAAGAAATCATATAACCCCTGTTTGGGAGTTTCGATCCTATTAGAACATTCTGCATGGTGTGGGAGACTCTGAGCCCTTTGAGAATACAAACAGGGGTAGCTGTCTATAAAAATGAATCACACGAACTTTGTCTTGAAAACCGCTCAACAAGAAATCATGTAACTCCTGTTTGGGAGTTTCGATCCTATTAGAACATTCTGCATGGTGTGGGAGATTCTGAGCCCTTTGAGAATACAAACAGGGGCTGCTTGAGTATTGCATTGCCTTCCTTATTGCTCAGATTTTCCTACGTGGTTGGGGGTTTGATAGGATACCTAGTGCCTATTTGGGAAGAGGTTATGATATTTTTTCCTGCTGTGTGTAAATTTCGTTATGAAAACTTGTTTTGTGTATGTTTGTATGCGTTAATTCATGAAACAACTCTAGATTCGTAGATCTAGCTTGTTGTAAATTGACGTTACGAGGGAAAAGTTATAGTACAACCGTCAAATTCGAAAGCAAGACATGCCTACATTCAATGAGGGTTTTAAAAAAAAAAATCCTAGACAAAATTAGGCAAGGTTTAGAACTTTCTCATTCAATCATATATGAAGATGCGGGCGATATGAAGTCATAGAATTAGAGGTATCACTAGAACAATGTAAACGGATCAATATAAACCTAGGACCCGACCCGATAACGGTAACCTCCCCCTCTAAGAAACCGACTTCCGTAAATACCGCCACAGCGAAGGATATTCTCGTAACTTACTTCACCGTTTGCCTCTTTTCTTCTCATTTTTTTTCTCCGTCTCTCTCTCTATTATATATATAGCCACGGATACACCCTCGGTCATAATTTCCTTTCATTTCTCTCACTAAGTTCGCCCCACCCCCCCTCTCTCCTCCTCGATCTCACTGGGGATTTTCGAAACCCTAGCCCTAGAAATAGAATTCACACTCCTCACTGTAAATATATTACGATCGATCCATCAATCGATTGCGTTCTCCGCTTGCAGAAACCCTAACCTTGATAGTTTTGGTTCGGATGATGCTGGCCTGAGAAATTCGAGGGGGAGATGAAGTACAAGAAGAGGAGGTTTCTCGAAGTGGTACGCTTGATTCCATCACCCCCCCCTCCAGTAGCCGTTGATTCGATCGTTTTGTCAAATTTCGTGTTCTTGGCTTTTCAATTTATGATATTATTTTTTGAGCTCAATTGGAATATTTTATTGTAGTTAGATTTTTTTTAGTATGGGACACCGGTCAGCAATACAATTATTGAGTTGTGGGTGTTTTAAGGGAATTTATCATGGGTTCATTTCGTGATTGAAACTAGTAGTTATTTCCTTTGGCTGCTTAAACCGTGTAAGCATTCATTTATTCCTTCATTAACTAAATCAGGAGTCAATTGTGGTTGATAAAATATTTGGGTTCCTGGCCCTTAACTGCTAGCTTTTAGCCTTTAGGGACGAGTTCTAGGCCTGTTATAAATGGTATTAAAGCTGACCTCACCTTCATAGCTGCAAGCGAGCGAGGCAGGTTTTGATGCCCCTGTTGCAGTATTTGGCCTGAATTAGCATAGTCTAAATTCATAGGGGTGATGATCGTTTGGCCTGGATTAGATTACTGCAAAGCCAACCATTGTGGGTGCTGGGCCGTTGGAGTGTGGTGGTATGTTAGGATCTGTTTACTCCCATATTTTGTCAATTGTGGGTTTATAAGATATTTGGGTTCTCTCCGTCTTTAGGCTCTTAACAACTAACTTCGTGGGGTGAGTTCTCCTAGGTCTCTTACATATTGTCAAATAAAATTTCTGCATTTTCAATATGTCTAGCTTGAATTTTTGTAACTACCAAATGGTAATTTGTTCTATGTGGGAAGAATCTTCTATAATTTTATGAGTTTCAGGGTTTTGTATGTGTGTGACTCAAATGTGACTCATATTGGAAGATTCTTAGTCGGTATGCAATAAGGGCTGTGAATCTACTTGACAGACAGAAAACATATTTAGGACTTAATAAAGAATATTGGGGATTTTTGTTCTTTTCTTACATTAATATGTAAGATTACCCTTTTATTTGTGGCTTCTTATAAAGCTTTATAGCAATCAACTTGAATTTATTGTCATGATCAAACTTTCTGGGCCATCAGATCATAACTTTGTTTCTTTGTATTGTAATATGAATTCTTCTTTATAAATTTATTCTTAATCTTGGAGCTTAGATGTGCATGACTGGGACAGAGGAATTGCTTATGTACTTTCCTTGAATCTCTTCTTGTCAAACTTATATGTTAAAAAAATTTCTGTGATTGGGATGTTCTTATTCTTTAGGCAATAAGATAGTTGGTTCTCTTTGAATTTAGTGCATTGTGTTGGAAATTCTTGTGGATTGCTTGATAGGGAGCAACTAAATTTGTGGCTACATGCAGAATATTGGGAAGTTGTTCTTTCTTAATCAGTTTATTGTACATTAGTACAACAACAACATAGACTTTATCCTAAATTTTCTGGGGATGGGGTACATGGATCATATTCTTCTATTTGGTTCTACTGTACTTTAATAGATCAAGTTAATTTCTTTTTGGTTTGTTATAAAGCTTGTTATGGGTGATCAACTTGAATCTACTGTCTCAAGCAAACTTTTTGGGGTATCAAGTAATAACTGGGTTTCTTTGTATTGTAGTGCAGACTGTTCTTTAGAATTTATTCCTAATTCCAGAACTTAGATGCATGACCAAAAGGGATGCTTGTATAATTTTCTCGGAATATCTCCTTTAGGAACTTGTATTGTGATTATAGAGAACTTGTTGTGTAGTTATATATTTCCAACTACTGTGATTTCTTGCATTTAATTCACTTCAGCGCATAGTGGCATAATACCCGGTTCGTTTCGGTTCACTGGACGGGTACAGGAGTGTAGCATGCCACTCGTTGGGAATTAGGTACAAGGGGTGTGCTTATACGGTAGGGAACGTGGTGCGTTTTAGGTTCAGTTCCTAAATGTAGGAATCAGTGGTTTTATATGAGTTAAATTTAAGAAATATGCTAGTTGATATGAGTAATGGTAAAAGGACCTTGAGAATCATGTTGCCATTAATGTATGAATACTTTATTTGCTATTTATTCTTTTGTAAAATAGTTTTTTTTTTAAATTTAGCTGGTTTGAATTCTAAATCGGTTTGTTGGAGTTGGTGAATTGGGCCGTGTTACACCGTGAACTCAAGACGATTGAATCCGGTTCGCTGTTCACTATGCTGTCCTATGTTCCTGACTTTTGTGCTTCAGCAACATCTGTGTATTGTTAATAGTTGAGCTGTGAATTGCTAATAAAATTGTTCTCAGGATGTAAGGATCCATTTGATCGGTGAATCTTGTGGGGTTATATACAAAAATTTCCTAACACATTAAGTTCAACTTTATATTCTAAAGATAGGATATGCACGTATGATCAAATGGAGATTTTTTGTTCTGGGCACTTTGATATAGGACAAACTTTTATTAAGGGGCTGTTTGGTTGGATGGATAAGGAGTTGCAAATGTAAATATAGCAATCAGATTTGTAAAAATATAGTTTTGTTTAAAATTTTGTAGTTAGGTAAAGCCAAATGGACTTTGCATTTTGTAGAAAAAACTTGAAACAAATGCTACGACAGTACGACCAATTTGGTGGGAGGAAAAGCTACATGCTTCAAATAAGAGAATTTAAAAATAAAAATAATTTCACGTCATCAGAAAGATCTTTTTAGATCTAATTAGGAAAACTATCTATACAATTTCCTCATATGAATTTTTTTGTTTTTGCCTAATTGTTTTTCAACCAAACACTAAACTTGCATTTAGAAATACATTTCCAACAATATAATTGAAGATATCCAAACATTTCCTGCAACAAATGCAACATTTGCTACAATTTATTTTTGTAGCTAACCAAACAGCCCTTAACTCAACTTAGCAGAGAGAAAAAGGAACTTGAATAAAATAATATGTTCATTTAAACATTTGTTCAAGGACCTAACTAATATTTGTAGGAAATATGCCTTAGTTTTATTGTTCATACATCTTTCTATTTTTGGAATGCAAGTTACTAGTGCCTTTAACGCGTTGATTTGCCTTTAACGCTTTTGACTGATTTATGTAAATCTTAAAGTTGTGGTCTCTATGGAGATATATGTCTTGTCGGATTTAGAAAAGCATCATGTTTCTAGAAGTCTATATTACATGCGTACTTCAATCATGAAGCCACACATTCTCGTTTGGAAACTTCATGGACATTTGTTGGATATATTCATTCATTTATTCAAACATCTTTTCAATCATATGATGTGTTTTAATTTAACACTTGCCATACAATTTTTAGACGTATATCCTATACTTCGCATTCATTTCTTGAAACTCGTTAGACATGAGTTTGATTTGTCCATAAACAAGTTCAAAACTATGATTTTAAAGTGTCATTTGAGCGTCTAGTTTAAAAATGAGCAGTTTTCAATTTATAATAGTTCACATAATAAAAGGAATTTAAAAAAGTAATAGGAATTTTAATTCTAATAACACATGAATTGAGAAACAATAATGATCTCGTGTTATTTATTAATTTCAACGTGTGTTTATGGGTATCATTGCATTGGTGCCCAGGACAAACTTTGCTCCTTGATAGTGAAGGGAGATTTCAAGGTGGAGGAATCTCAACCTTAAATATAGGTAAGGTTAATTTAGTGTTTTAAAAAGTGGGTACGTTGCTTGCCTAGGCCTAGGCAGTATCTAGGCCACCTGCCTAGGTCTTGGTAGTGTCGAGGGGAACATAGGCTGCTTACACAAACACTATCGCGTAGGTATTGTTTTGTTATTTCCTCAGCATAGCTTCCACGTCCTCCAATTTTCTCTGAACTCTATCAGCCTCTACTAACTATGAACACCTCTT